CTGTGGAAATTGTGCTGGTTGGGATGGTTGTAGATTCCTGAGTGAAGACTGTTTTTTGAGAGCCTGGAGTTTTATGAGTTGCCTGTGACAGCACTGAGCTGCTCTGGGAGGCTGTAGATGCCTCAGTGTGGACTGTGGTGTGAGTGATCTGAGGAGGCCCAGTGGTTTCTGTCAACATTGGGCTGCCAGAGAAGGTTGTGGGTTCCAGAGTGAAGACAGTCGTTTGGAATGACTCTGTGGGTTGAGATGTCTGTGTTGAAACTGAGCTGCTTGGGGAGGTTGTAGATGCATCAGGCTGGACAGTACTGGGAGAACTCTCAGGAGGTACGACTGTTTCTGAAGAAACTGATTTGGTTGCAAAGGTCGTAGATTTCTGAGTGAAGCCTACTAGGGATGTCTCAGTACCTTGAGTATCTTGTGTGGAACTCAGGCTGCCTGGGAAAGTTGTAGAGGCCTCAGATTGGGATGTGATGTGGGTGACCTCAGAAGACACAGCAGTTTCTGAAGAAACCAAGCTGCTAGGGAGGGGTGTAGATTTTTGAATGAAGGCTGTTTGGGAAGTCCCAGGGGCTTGAGTTGTTTGTGTAGAAATTGAGCTGCTTGTGGATGTGGTAGAGGACCCCATTAGGGTACTAGAGGATGAGGTATCAGAAGGGACAGCTGGTTCTGTTAACATTGGACTGCTTGGGATGGTTGTGGATTCCTGAGTGAAGACTGCTGCTTGAGAGATCTCAGGAGCTTGAGTTGTTTTTGTCAAAATTGTGCTGCTTAGGGAAGTTGTAGATGCCTCAGTCAGGGCAGAAGTGTGGGGGACATCAGGAGGTGCAACGGTTTCTGAGGAAATTGAGCTCCTTGGCAAGGTTGTAGATTTTTGAGTGAATTCTGTTTTGGATGTTTCAGCAGGTTGAGTTGCATGTGCTGAAATTGAGCTGCTCTGGGAGGTTGTAGATGCCTCAGGTTGGACAGTACTGGAAGAACTCTCAGGAGGTACAGCTGTATCAATGGAAACTGAGCTGCTTAGGAAGGATGTAGACTTCTGAGTAGATACAGTCTCCATAGAGTCTGTTGCCTGACTTGCGTGGGTTGATATCAAGTGGTTTGGGGATGTTGTAGATTCCTGACTGAACACGGTTGTTGGAGAGGTCTCAAAAGCTTCAGTTGACTGTGTTAATATTGGACTTCTTAGAGATGTTGTAGGTGCATCAGTCAGGGCTGAGGTGTGGGTGACATCAGGAGGTTCAGCTTTTTCTGTGGAAATTGAACTGCTTAGCAAGATTGTAGAATCCTGAGTGAAGACTGTTGTTTGAGATGTCTCAGTTCTTTGAGTTGCTGCTGCTGAAATCAAGCTGCTCTTGGAGGTTGTGTAAGGCTCAGATTGTCCTGTAGTGAGTGAGGTGTCAGGAGGAATAGCTGTATCTGTGGGACTTGAGCTCCCTGGGAAGGTTGAAGACTTCTGAGTAAATATTGTGTTGGTGGGCTCTGCTGCTGGAGTTGGATGTGTTGAAACTGGGCTCCTTTGGGAAGTGGTAGGTTCCTGAGTGAAGACTGTTTTCCATGATTCAGCTGGTTGAGTTTCATGTGTTGACA